CCCCCACCACTGTACCATAAAAAGTTCGTGGCGGTCTCACCCCCATAAAAAGTTATGGGGGTTCAAAGTTAATAAATATGCCAATTTTTATACATTTCTAGGCATGTAAATATTTATATAGTCATTCTTAAACAATATTCAGAGGTAAAACTAATGAAAAATACATAAAAATATTGTGAAAGTTATTTAAAACATTATTTAAATATCTTTATCAATAAGGTAGGTTAGGTTAGATTAGGTTAGGTTAGGTTAGGTTAGGTTATCGGGTTTTGTTCATTCGGGTGTGTGGGTCATCATCTAGACCGTTACCCAAGGATCTTATGCAAGGCTTGGAACTGATTAAATTGGTGCTTATGCGCTTGGAATTGATTAATGTAAATACATTTAGACTACGAATGAAGAATTTTCGATATTCGTCCAAATCAGATTATCAAAATGTTACGCTACATCGCATGCCAAATGTTCTTAAATCCTTCAATGTTGCGTCAACAAAAAGGATCTTGATTCGCTCTTTCTGAATATAGAAGAGGAGTAAAATATCTGTCGAAATAACAACTGACTGAAAAAAGACCCTAATATTTTATTCACAAAACGATTTTGTATTTTTCAATGCTGGGTTTGAAAATTATTACCTGAATTTATTGATTAATTTAAATGAAGTGTAAAAATTAAACTGTTTATAATCATACACATGTAGGTACATACTGTAACGACATTGAAAGATCAAATCGATATTTTCAGTTGCCTAAGCTTTTTTTTAATGAGGTGTATCAAAACATCTGAAGATATTAATTGCGTAGATGGGTTTGACAAACTTCAGGAACAATAATCAAAAGCGGCGACATATTTTCGTTCTTACATTAGTTTATCGATCGAATAAGTTAAATTGTTTATTGTTTAGCCAGAAATACGCAACGGTCTTGTGTCTGTCTGCCTGTGTCCTGCAAGAGACACATGATGTCTGTGTACAGGCTTGGTGCTGCTCATTTACTAGACAATGATGGGCTATTATAAAAAATTAAAACATATCATTGGAAGAAAAACATCATTCTTTCGTATCTATTCATCCTGGTTATACCAAAACCACAAACTTCCTGATACAGATCTGGTTATTGAGAGATATAGAGACAATTCGAGAACGGTGATAGAATATTTAAAAACTTTTACTTTTAGTCAATTAATACAGAAATATAATATAATATTAAAGTATTGGTTTGTTAATATTTTTTTATATTTCGGCCATGGGGACGAATCCTTCGGATTTTCTTATCTTGTAATTGTCTAATAATAGTTTCATAAACAAGGCAAATTTGCATACACAAATTGAAAAATACACAAAAATAAAAGTAGGTCAATGCATTAAGTATTTATATCTATTAATTATTTATCAATTAAAAGCGTTTATAAATTATGTTTGTTGGTGAAAAAAAAATGTTACGAATTATTTACAATATTCAATTTCATCACTTTCTTGTTATTTTGCGTGTAAGGTTTTATTTGAGAGAATCATACATACACAAAAGATTATTTGTTACCTCTAAATTTCAGTTCAATAGACAGAAACAGTTTGGGGCCAATGCTACTTTAAAATGACCAGTTCGGCTGTTTACTTATTGAAGATTATTTTCGAGAATTTTATAGTACAATATCACTAGATTAACCTACCGAACATATTGTCCTTCAATGTCGTCGCGTGTGGTATTAATAGCTTTCATCCACGTGCTCCAGTAAAATAAAATTTAACATTAAAAATTACAAGTGGTGTTACGTGCTCCACTAAACTTTTCAGTTATAAAAATAAATATTAACTGTTAATTAATTAATTAATTTAAAAATTTGAAATTAAAAAAAAAATTAAATAAATTTAGCCGCCATAGAAATATTCCTATTTCTGTCTTTAGTAGTTGTGTTTTCCTTAGTTGTACATCCACAACAATCGAACTAAAAGTGCGACTCAATGATTCTATTATCATTGTCGCAGTTTCACGTTTTTACTGTTTATTATTAGCTTTTTATTGTTGTATTTTGCAATTGCTAATAGATTAAATTTTTAAGGTGAAATGTCAAGTACGGAATTCGGCCAAAGTTATCGCTGAATAACCCCAGATAACAGTTCAATAAAAGGGAATCCGATCTGCAAACTTGCATTCAGTTTTTGTATGTTGAGAGCAACGACGAACTGAACAAGTAACGATGGTCCTCGAAACACTATTAATGTCGTCTTCAGTTCTCCTAGTTATACTTGCAGTGTGCGTCGTTTTGTATTACAAGTGGTGCTTCACTTATTGGAAAAGGAAAAATGTTTTCACTCTTCCTCCGTCGATACCTTTCGGTAACGCCAAAGAGAATTTTTACAGGCAAGTCAGTTTCGCCCACAGCATAATACGATTGTACAGGATAATAAAATCAAAAGGGCTACAGTATGGAGGGTACTACATGTTATGGAAGCCTATTTTCATACCAGTCGATCCGAATTTGATTAAGCTAATCTTGAACAAAGACTTCGACCATTTTACAAACACGGTCAATTATAGTAACGAAAAAACAGACCCGCTTTCTGGAAACCTCTTCTTCCTTAAAGGAGACAAATGGAGATTAATAAGAAGCAAATTGTCATCAACGTTCACGTCCGGAAAGAACAAATCCATGTTGAACACCATGGTGAAGTGTACTGAGCACATGCCAAATATTCTAGATCGGGCTAACGAACAAGGAGAAGCTATAGAAGTAAAAGAATTCTATGCAAGATTTACGACTGATTTAATTGGGGCTTGTGCCCTTGGAGTTAATTGTTCGGCCCTTTTAGACGAAAATTCACCTTATAGGGACCACGGAAGAAGAATCTTCGACATTCGTCCAAATCAGACTATCAAAAGCTTACTCTACATGGCAATGCCTAATGTACTTAAATTCTTCAACGTTTCCATCAACCGAAAGGACGTCGAGTCGTTCTTCCTGAATACGGCAAAGGAAATAGTCGAATACAGGAAGAAGAACAACATAGTTAATAAAGACTTTATCAGCTTATTGATGAGCATGATGAATAAGGAAATATCTGTCGAAATAAAAACTGGCCGATCAAAAAATCCTGATGGTGAACGAATTTTCTACTCGCAAAATGGTTTGACTCAGAACGAAATAGGTTGCCAAGCTTTTGTATTTTTCCAAGCAGGATTCGAAATGGCATCCACTTGTTTAACTTTCCTCACATATGAATTATGTCTCAACCAGGACGTTCAGGATAAATTGAGAAATGAAATTGTGGACGTACTGGATAAGTATAATGGGGAAATAACGTACGAGGCTATAAATGAAATGACATATTTGGATCAGTGTGTATATGGTAAGTAAGTTCATTTTCGTAAGGTCGTCAGTCCTCAGATTGGTTTGACACGCACCTCCACTCTTTCCTATCCTGAGTTAATCTTCGCATTTCCCTAAAGCTAGAACATCTCACATCCTATTTGTGGACAGTAGACTAATCTAGGTCTAGCTCTCCTCCTCTTAACTCATGTTTCTGCTTCTAATATGTCTCTAACTAGCCCTTTATGCCTGAGAAGGTGTCCTATCAACCTATCTCATCTTCCATAGCTTCCTCTGTTTTCCTATTCTTTCTAATACCTTCGCTATCCACGGTATCCTTATCATTCGCCGATAACACCCCGTTTCGAACGCTAACCGCGCCCACTGTCCATGTTTCGCACCCGTGCTCCAGACATACACCTTTAGCAATCTATTTCGAATTTTTCCTCTCCTATCTTTATAATCACTCTTTCTCTAGTTTTTCTACCTTTGCATACGAGTTTTTTTGAATGTTTTAATTCAATTGATACTGTAGGTATCTATTTTATCTAATATAATAAGTGTGCGAAAATAAGTACAATATTTACAACAATAAATGAACCGAGTAGACATTATGAGATAACTTCTGAAGTATTTAAACTTATTTACTAAACATATCAATTAAATTTAAATTATCCGTAACGTAAGCAATTATGTAAAGATACTTTATAGAAACAGTTAATCAATTATGCTACTTATAATTATACATAAACACTGTAACTATGTAGAAAGATGCGAATATTATTTTTAGAATACAACTGAAGTTATTAACTAGTCGCGTTTTATTAATTACCAGACAATGGTAGGTTCTCTTATAAAAATTAAAAAAATTATTCATATTAAAAGATGTAGTCGCTCTAAACTGTTGGTGAAATATTTCGAATAAAATAAATTAAATCAAACGTAAATTGTATATTTTGGTGATTTTCAGAGGCTTTAAGAAAGCATCCGCCTTTCATTCCCATTCATCGCGAATGCACCAAAACCTACAAAGTTCCCGATACGGATCTGGTAATTGAGAAAGGAACGCCAGTGTTTATTTCAGCGTGGGCAATTCAACACGATCCCGAGCATTATCCTGATCCCGAGAGGTTCAATCCCGAAAGATTTTCTAAGGAGAATAAAGCAAAAAGAAATCCGTACACCTTCTTGTCTTTTGGAGAAGGACCCAGATTTTGCATAGGTACGAATTATATTTTTATACCTCTATTCAAACTTTAAATTTATTTGGTTGCGGGCAGCTGATCATAAAGATTTTTTTTCACACATTTTTGGGTGCACAGAAAAGTATATAGGATACCTTTTATCCAGGAAAAAAATTCAGTTTTATCCTGATGACCTTAGTCAGGACTTTATCAAATTGTATTTTCGATTATTTAGGGACGAAGCCGCGGATAAAAAAGCTTGTTAGCTTTTATGGAATAGCTTCGCCTTGATCGGTGAATTACCGAAACTGCCAGCCGCGTGCCTATGAGAACTAACAGTTCGAAATCGCGCGCTACGTTTTGTAGTTTCAATAAATTACCGACCAAGAAATTTACTGTTTATCAAATGCAGCAATATCATACTTGATATCATTTACAGGAATGAGATTTGGTTTACTAGAGGTTAAAGTAGGTATTGCTTCGATACTTCCAAAGTACAAGTTCTCCATCAGTCCAAAGATGCAAGTTCCAATTGAATATGATCCTAACGAATTCACACTGACAGCTAAGGGAGGAATTTGGCTGAATGTGGACAAAATTTAATTTGTATTAACACGCTGAAGAATGCACAATGTACATAACATACCACTAAAAGACGATTCCTGGTTTATTACTACTTCGTAATTTTATATTGTAAATTCTTATGATTAGTAGGAGTAATAAACATAGGTTTATATTAGGTAATTATATTATTTATTTAGGTTTCGAAAAGATTTTGTCATTTTTTTCATTTAATAAATTATTTCGTTTTATATACGCATTTTTATTTGATGTAATATTGCCCCATTCGAAACCTGGTGATTTAAAACCCTAGTGATCCTAGGGTTCTGTTTATCATTTGCACGTACGGAACTCTAGCACGAGAACCAGCTTAACATTGTAGTTGAAGTTGTTGTTCTCCCATACGTTTAACTGCAAATGTAAATTTGTACGTACAATTTTGTTCTGTTGAAAGATTTACGACGTTAAGTTCGAATCAAAGACTTCTTACTAATTTTCCTGCAATCTATAACCAAAGTATTATTCTCTGCATTTTTTTCAAAATTTTAGGTTCAGTAATTTCGGAGATAAGCGGGAGGGGAATGGTCAATTTTCATCTATTTTCTTAGATAACTGTTTATTTTAAAATTATAAAAAAATATATTTGAGACCCTTACAATAAGCCCTTTCATTTGATTCGTCGCACAGTACAGTTTGCAAAACTTTTTTTTTTAATTTCCTATTGGCCGTCCAAAAAATGACCCCCATGTTCAAAATTAATTTATTTATGTAATGCGTCCGTTGCAAATTGGCTGTGACAGATGGACAGACAGACACACGACTGGTCCTATAAGGGTTCCGTAACTTATTCTGACTTACGGAACCCTAAAAATTAAGACAGAAATACAATATTGAAGTACCTATTCGTTTTATAAATATTTCAGTCTCGGAGACCAATTCTTCAAAATTTCTTATCTGATTATTGTTTAATAATATTTTCAACAATGGCGCAAATTTGCGTACGTAAATTAAATAAAAGTAGGTCAATAACTTAAATGTTTATAATTATTAATTATTATCAATCAAAAGCGACTATAAATTATGTTTGTTGATACGAAAATGTACGTTCTAAGAAAAATTATCATATTTATGAATTATTTATAACTTTCAGTTTCACTTTCTTCGTATTTTATGTGAATCTCTAGCGGGTAGGTATTTTAGTCATTAAATAAAAATAAAAATAACCAATTTTTAACATAAAACACAGAACCTAATCAGGGAACGGTACAGTTTTTTATGTTTGACATACGAAAGTTGGTTTTAGAGATACTGCTTTGCTTATTTTCTTTCTGTATGTTGTAAAAATAAGAATTAGAGAGAAATTATACTAAACATAAGTACTAAAGTTAGTTAGGTACTATTATTTTATTTATTAAAGGGCAATTTCCTCCCATGACATAAGGAAAAGGTTATTGAAAAGTCGACTGATACATGACAATGATTGGCCTCAAAAATTACTTACTATCAGTCTGTATGACATTGTAAATCGCAAAATATTTTTTAACAAACGAATCCTTGGAATGCATTCACGAACCATGTGTCTCGAACTCCGTATTCATTTGAAACCTTTGCTCTTTATTCGTATATTACCTAAGTGGAATTTTACAGAATAAACGTTGCCTCTTTTAAATTTCTATGAAAAATAACATTAGATTGCTATTATCAAAAAGTTATTCATTTAATCAATAAATAAAATTTTTTTCAAGTATTTTTGATTGTCACAATTGTATTTTCTTATTTATGTTATCAAAAATGTTCTTTTTATCTAACACATTAGGATTTCTCACGTAAGTAAAATAAGAAATGGTATCACGCGAAGTAAAACGAGAAAATCATTTTCTCTTCAATATTTTTTGTAGGTAGACTTAGATTAGATTACTGTTACACATGGTTAGGGAGATGGGACGTTCTGAAACGTTAGGAAAACTAGCTCAGGATAGGCAAGAGTGGATCTTATAATTTTTTTAAATTCAAAAAACATTTAACAAACAACAGGAAGAAATTGTATTTATAAAAATTTACTATTAATAAATTAGAAAGTACATAATAATTATTAATTTAATTGTTGTTGTTGTCCTGAACCTTCACTATACTAATTTCTTTATTAATGAAAGCACTTCATCAAAACAGAAATTAATATATTAGAAATATGTAGGAAATAACAAATGTAGGTTACAATTATTAATTATGATTATGTAGTGGGTACTACATTTAACTAAAATATTTAGTTGATTAAAGTGTAAGTACGTATATGTTGTGTATGAGTAAGCTACTGCTTATTGGTAGAGACAAAATTGTCAAAAGGTTTTGAAGTTGTAATAATGATAGTAATCGATGCACTGCATGATAATTACTTCGTGTAGGTACACTACTTACATTTTCGAATAAGGAAATGAGGATTAACCTTATTTGATTGATAAGACATAATGTTATTTTACTAATTGTAAAGCTTCGTTCAATTCAATCAAAATTATAAAGAAATATTAATGTAAAAATTTTATGCACTAGATGTATTGCTAAAACTTAAGAACGGCTGGACCAATTTCGATAATTTTTTGTAATATTCCTTGAAGTCCTAGGAAGGTTCTTATGAAGAGAAAAATTACCCAGAAATACGTAAAAACTAAATTCAAACTGTTAATTCTAGGGAATTGTCAAGTGTACGACGCAGCATCACTTGGGCACAGTTCAACCAATTTGATTGATTTATTTTTTTTTGTATTTGATTGGCCCGACAAGTCAGCGGTCGGGGNTAATCTACATACAAAAAAAAATGTGACAAAGTTTATATTTTCAAAATATAGACCAACATTTACATGCTTAAGATAAATTTATACAAAACACTTTTTTATCGCAGACCTGTGTTATTGTCGTCGGCTTGAAAGAGTAAGTGATAAGTTGATACCGTAATTTATAAAAATTTTCTAATTTCTCGTCAAGTGGATATGTTCTTCCATCTCCGATGCTGAATGTGGACATTAAGCCGCGGAACCCTTTACGAATTTATCAGACTAATTAGTATAAAAAATGTTTTATGTGATACATCGCTCTCTCTCTAGGGGCGGCTTATCCGTTGAAGTAACCGCTGTGCGAAATTGTACACATATTTAAACGATAAATTAAAATTATTATAACTGATAATGATAGAGTTTTTTGTCCGACATTTCCTCTTTTTTAAGGATTCTTTTTTCAAATTCCGCTATCAGTTACAGTTTTTGGGCAATCGGCAAAAAACAGAAGCCGCTTTTTTTTTTGTTTTTCTTACTTAATAACATTTGCAATTTTTATTGACCGAAAAAAATCCGGAAATACGTCTTTTTCAGAATTACAAATCCCGAATGATATACGTAACTATTTTCAGAAGACCTAGAACTATTTTTCGCAGAAAACACTTCTCGATTAGGATGTTAATAAAATAATAAACTATTTGTTACTTCAGGATAGGGGTATGGTCTCAGGAAGAAAGTACAGCACCCCCTCTCAAGAGTTTGTCGCCATCATCTATGGTTCGCGTGTCTATTAACACCCGGGAGGGACTACTACAAGTACTTTCATCGTTTCATCCCTTGATGCGTAACAACCTCTGTATGAAAACTGCCACCCGATCCGAAGTCAAGTTCTCGAAATCGGCATTATGCATTTTAATAACACGTGTACTAATACATTTCTGATAAGTTTTTTTGGTAAAGGTCTAAATTAACCCATCCACCCCTTTCGGGGCAGGGGGGGTTTAAAGAGGAGGTCTTCCTGAGTAAACCACCATAAAAAGTTCACGATGTTTTATCTATGACAACAGCAACAAAAATAACTAATAAGTAGNTATTTTTGGTCAAATTTACATGAAACTTGATATTTATGCTCAACGGCATATAAAACAGCTATTTCAGCATTTTAAAAAATTTAACCTCTGAAAAGGGTTGTAACGTTTATAAGCTAGATATTTTATTTATAGTCAGATTTACTTTAAACTTTCTCTCTTGGTCTTTCATATAAATTTAGTGATATACATAGGTACCTATTTCAACATTTTAAAAAATTCGACATCTATGGAGGGAGGGGTTGAAAAGGAGTTTCAATGTTTGAAAGGGACATAATCTATAGGTACATATTATTTGTGGTCAGATTTACTTGAAACTTGGTCTTAATGGTCTCTCTTTTTAATTTCTGAAAGACCTATCTCGACATTTTAAAAAATTCAACCTCCAAAGGGGGGGGGGTGAAATATGTTGCAATTTTTGTTTGGGATATATTTTATTTGTGGTTGAATTTACTTGAAACTTGGTATTTAAGGTCTTTGATATAATTAATCAAATGAAAAGATATTGCAACGTTTCCATGGGGTACATTTTATTTGTAGTCGCCTATACTCGAAAGTTACTCTTAATACTCATTGTTGAAATTAAGCAAATACGTGTTTTAGAATTTTTAAAAATCAGCCTTTAATGATGAAATGTTGTTGCTACGTTTGAGTTTTTTGAAATTTAAGATGGCGACATTACATAAAATTAAAATTTTGTAGGGGTGAATTGGGAGTTAAAAGGTTTTATGGAGAAACAATATTAATTTCTGCGAGCGAAGTGTATATATATTAATACTATACTAATATATAGTATATAAAACAATACTAAAGTAANAAAAATATCTGAAATAGTTGTACGTGTGACTAAATGATAAAAATTATCTTATCGTTTGTTTTACATGCGTAGCTAACGACGTTTCATTCACACGAGGCGGTCTTGTGTCAGGTCTAATTAATTTTATCAGTAAGTACTCAGCTTAAAATCATGGACCTTATCCGACGATTTACGAAGTGTTTTTGTTAGTTTGCTGCTTTCTGATTAGATTTTATTTTCATGTTAAAATTAAAGTTGTTGTTATTAAAATTGGATAGACAAAAGTTGCGCCGCCCTACATCAAAATTTATTGTTTAATCTAAATTAAATAAAACGGCTCGCAATAACAAATTGAGCATACTTAAAACTATAAAAAACTACTATAGTGTCATATTGGTTAATGTCATATATAATCACAATGATCCTAGGAGTCAAATACTATTTGCAATTTATTCAACGATATTGTCGACCACTTAAAACTAACTTTTCTTTTCTTTGGAAACAGTATTTTTGCTGGATAAAAGGTACCCTGTGTCATTTT